CTTTAGAAACAATTTTAATTTGTACAAACCTGACTGGGATTTTAGATGGATGCTTTTGAGTGAATTATTTAGATTAATTATTCTCAACTTCACATGCCCCTGATATGGCAGAAGGCATATCAGATCTTGGAATTGGGTGTGGGAGGGTCTGGCGTATAGTTTTTAAAGGCCCGTGGAAAGCAGAACCGACTATTGAAAATCACCATCACATAAGCCACGACTACAGAGGGGAGCATTGAGAAAACAGGTAATTGGCTGGTTTTTATTTTAGGCATAGGAATCCCTGTGTCCTCAATACTTGTGACCATCAAGGGCAATTTACCTTATTTAAAGTCACAATCGTTCTAATACATTTATAATACACTGGCTGTTACAGCCTCTGACTTTTTTACTTTTGTCTCCCTTTTTTCTTTCTTTCTCTGAGCCTCATTCCCTTAACTCAGATCATTACCGTAAAATGGACGTTCCCATGTACACAATTTTGTAAAATATATCAAAAGACCTACAGATACCACCCACCCCACCCCCCCAAATTCACCCATGAATTCACAGCTAAGTCTTTCCTTGAAAGGGGGGTGTAGGTAGGTGGGGGTGGGAAACGGGATAAATGGGTACAGAAAGAGACTTGCTTTGGGGCATGGGCACATGATGCAGTGTGCAGATGTTTTTTTGAGCTATATACTTGAAACCTGTATGGTTTTGTAAATCAGTGTCATCCCAATAAATTCAATTTAAAATATATATATATTTGAAAATGTGTTGTATCTAGGGAATGAAAAATTTACATTTATTTATTTAGTCAGTATTTATTAACCACCTACCATGTGACAGGAAGGACAGTCCAGAAAATGACCACAGTGGGGTAGGACCCAAAGCAGGAAGGAGCACTGCAGGATGGAAGGTAACAAGTCCAGGCCACGGGTGGCCTTAGAGCCTGTGAAGGGATTCTCAATGTTTCCTCAAAAGTGGTGGTAAGTCAAGGAGGGTTTATACAGGTGAGGAATGAGATGTGTTCTAATTCTTCATTAAAAGATCAGTGAAACGTTATTCCAGATCAACCAGACTTAGAAAAGGCAAGCTAAAGGTGTTCTAAAATTGTGTTTATTATTGTTTTTTTAATCCTCATCTGAGAATATGTTTTCATTGATTCTAAAGAGAGAGGAGGGAGGGAGAGAAATATCCCGTACTCGCCTGGACTGGGGATCGTACACACTGTCTGGGTATGTGCCCTGGCCAGGAATCAAACCTTCAACCCTTCAGTGCACAGGGAAGATGCTCCAACCAACTGAGCCACATGGGCCAGGGCTCATTCCCTTTTATCTGAGAGAAGTGAGACCGTCCAAAAAGCTCATGATGAAGAGGAGCAGGCATTGGCATGTGAAAGCATACTTGGTTCCGTTTATTGAAGAACAGTCACAGGCAGATGGCAGAAACTCATACTGAATGGACAAAGCATGTGCTTACTGAAAGTATTCTAATGATAGTGCAATAGCTAAAACATGAGACTTTTTAGAAAGGAATATTAATATGCTTCCATGCTCCTGATTACTTTTGTAACAAGTTTATTGAGTGGGTATGGAGGGCAGCTGATCCATTTTCTCTCATATGCCATGCAAAGTCACCAATTTAAAGTGTACAACTTAATGGTCTTTAGTGTATCCAGAGTTGTTTCAACCATCCCACAGTCAATTTTACACGATCACCCAAAAACGAAGCCAAATCCCTTTAGTCATCAGTCTCCAATACTCCTCCCCCAGTCCTAAGCAACCATTCATCTAATTTACATGTAGGTTTGTCTATTCTACACATTTTATAAATGGAGTCACACTATGTGACTAGCTTTCACTTAACCCAATATCTTTAAGGTTTAGCCCTGTTAAAGCATCTATCAGTACTTCATTCCTTTTTTTTCTCTATTTTTTCCCCCATCACCATTTATCCCCCTTATACCTTCCTCCACCTCCACCTACTCCCCTAACCCTGCAATCACCACACTGTTGCCCACAATGCTTCATTCCTTTTTATTGCTGAATAATATTCCACTGAATGGATATACCATATTTGCATATCCACTTATCAGTTAATAGACATTTGGTTTCCACTTTTTAGTTATCTATACTAATAAAAGGGTAATATGTTAATTAGACCGGTAGACCGGACATCTTCCAGTTGTCCAGTCCTCCTTCTGGACAAAGCCACATTGGCAGGGGCCAAGACAGAGGCGGTTAGGGGCGATCAGGCTGGCAGAGGAGGTCGGTTAGGGGCAATCAGGCAGGCAGGTGAGCAGTTAGGAGCCAGTGGTCCCAGATTGTGAGAGGAATCCCATATTGGAGAGGGTGCAGGCCAGGCTGAGGGACATCCCCCTGCCCCCCACACCCCCATGCATGAATTTCGTGCACCAGGCCTCTAGTTATAAATAATGCTGCTGTAAGCATTTGTGTACAAGTTTTTGTGTAGACATGGGTTTTTCATTCTCTTGGGTATACATCTAGGAGTAAAATTGCTGGGTCATTGGAATTGCTGTATATTTAACCTTTTGAGCAGCTGCCAGGCTGTTTTCCAAAGTGGCTGCACCATTTTACATTTCCACCAATAATGTATAAGGGTTCTAATTTCTTCACATCCTTATCAACACTCATTACTGCCTTTTGTTTTAGCCATCCTAGTTGATAGGAAGTGGTACCTCATTATGACTTTGATTTGCATTCCCTTCATGATGAATGATGCTGAGCATCTTTTTGTGTGCTTATTGGCCACTTGTACATTTATCTTCTTTGGAGACATGTCTACTCAGATCCTTTGCCCACTTTTTCAATTGGGTTATTTGTCTTTTTATTATTAAGTTACAAAACTTATTTACCAATATACATTCTATCAGATATATAATTTGCAAATATTTCCTGCTATTCAATGGGTTGCCTTTCATTTTCTTGATAATGTCCTTTGAAGCACATTTTTAATGTTGATGAAATCCAAATTTATCTGTTTTTAATTTGCTTGTTTGTGCTTTTGTTATATTTTAAAAACTATTGCCACATCCAAGATTACGAAGATCTACTCTACATTTTCTTCTAAGGGTTTTATAGTTTTAGGTATTACATTTAGGTTTTTGGTCCGTTTTGAGTTAATTTTTTTTTTATGGTGTAAGCTAGGGAATGGACCAACTTCAATCTTTTACTGTGAATATCCAGTAGTACAACACTTTGTTGAAAAGAGTACTCTTTTCCGCCAGAATGGTTCAATTGGTTGAGCATCGTCCAATATAACGAAGGGTGGTTGGTTCAGTTCAGTTCCCCATACAGAGCACAGACCTGGTTTGCAGTTTCAGTGCCTGGTTGGAGCAGCTGATCCAGTTTCTCATGTTGATTTCTCTCTCTCTCTCTCTCTCTCTCTCTCTCTCTCTCTCTCTCTCTCTCTCTCTCTCTCTCCTTCCCCCCTCCCTGTCTCCTTCCCTTCCTCTTTTTAAGCATGTCCTTGGGTGGAGGATTAAAAAAACAAAAGAAGGTTAGTCTTTCCCCATTGAATTGTTTTTGGTGTCCTTGTTGGCAATCGACTGTAAATGTAAGGGCTTATTTCTGCACGCCTACCTTTGATATTTAACATCCATGAATGTGGAACAATTGTGAAGAGTATCTTCCTAACAACTATTATTGGTAAGAGATGTCTGTGTAGATGTCCCACCCAACGACATATCCCTTAGCCTACTTCCAGTTCGCCTGCAACCCTGTGGACAGTTCCTGTGCAAACTGACAGCTTTCCAACACAAGCCCTGTTTCTGCTTTCCTGCACCACAGAAACTTGCTCAGCCTATGCATAGGACTGTCTACGAGGGCTGGGGATTTTATGCCCCCAGAGCAACCCCCAAATGGTGAGGAATGGGGGGCTGGTTAGTAAGTACCCTAGCTTCCCCGTCACTCAGTGCATACGTCCTAGATATTCCTTGCTAGATCCTAAGTGGAATTGAGCCCCACTTGGCCTCAGTTAAAATCACTTCATTAACTCATCCTTCGTTGCTTTTCTCCCTTCCCTGTCTCACTTTTTTCACTCCCTCACTTCTGCTTCATGGAATTGTCACCCAAATAAACTGAACCAAAGTCCTTTGCTTAGAGTCTGAGTAACCCAGACTAGGACACCCTGAGAGGAAAATTTCTATTTTCACCTTTGCTTCTGCCCAGATGATGTCTTTTAAGTATATCTTGCAATGTTTTTTAAGTATTCCCACCCTTGCTGTAGAGCTTAGTACTTTTAGACTAGCAAAATGCAATCATTATCACTTTATTGTTTTGGCATTTTTCACCAGCATTTTATTACAAGGAAAGTACCTACCACCCATTTGAAGTATATTCTGCTATACATACATCTGTCATCTGTTTACATTTCAGGAAATTAGAAGGAAGTTGAGGTTTTTGTCAAGCCAATAGCAACATGTTTTTTGGTGGGGAAAGTGGAAAATTTGGCAGCAAGCCAGAAACCTACTTCGTGCCACCTTGTTTTCATAGCCCTTCCCCTCTTCATCTTTGTGGAGAAGTAAGGAAATTATTCAAAACTTCCACCATTAATCAAAAAAAAATTCCACCCTTAATAATTTCCACCATTGCCCAGCCACTGTGGCTCAGTGGTTGAGCATCAACCTATGAACCAGGAGGTCACAGTTCACTTCCTGGTCAGGGCACATGCCCAGGTTGCAGGCTTGATCTCCAATCATGCAGGAGGCAGCTGATCAATGATTCTCTTTCATCATTGATGTTTCTGTCTTTCTCTCTCTCTGAAATCAACAAAAATATATTTAAAAAATAATTTCAAGAAGAAAAAAATAATTATTTACACCATTTGTTGTCAGTTGTGCTCAATTGGTTAATTCCGATTTCACCTTTTCTATGGTTTTGAAATTTTTCAAAATAAAAAATTTGGGGAAGTATCCCGGTCTGGGGGTGGGGTGCGCTGCACATGTCGCTGTCGCGGCTTCCGGCTTCCGGTGCTAGGTAGAGGGGAGGAAGGAGGGAGTCGGGGAGCGGGGCCAGGGGAGCAGCAGCGTTGAAATCGGCTGGGGGAGCCGGAGGGAGCTGAGCGGGAGCTGAGCGGAACCTGCGGGGGCGGAGGCGGCGGCCGCAGCGGCAGAGCTGGGAGCAGAAACAGGATCAAGTCCTCCATACCAGGGACCAGGTCAGAACCAGACTGCCACTGCTGCCACTTGGGCCCTACTGTCTTCAGAAAGCAGCTGCTGTGATCATGGGTAATATCTTTGGAAACCTTCTCAAGAGCCTGATTGGGAAGAAGGAGATGCGCATCCTGATGGTGGGCCTGGATGCTGCAGGAAAGACCACAATCCTGTATAAGCTGAAACTGGGGGAGATCGTCACAACCATCCCCACCATTGGGTTCAATGTGGAGACAGTGGAGTACAAGAACATCAGCTTCACAGTTTGGGATGTGGGTGGCCAGGACAAGATTCGGCCTCTCTGGAGACACTACTTCCAGAACACCCAAGGGTTGATATTTGTGGTCGACAGCAATGATCGAGAGCAAGTAAATGAGGCCCGGGAGGAGCTGATGAGGATGCTGGCAGAAGATGAGCTTCAGGATGCTGTGCTCCTTGTCTTTGCAAACAAACAGGATTTGCCTAATGCTATGAATGCTGCTGAGATCACAGACAAGTTGGGCCTGCATTCCCTGTGTCATCGCAACTGGTATATTCAGGCCACCTGTGCCACCAGTGGGGACGGGCTGTATGAAGGCCTGGACTGGCTGGCCAATCAGCTCAAAAACAAGAAGTGAGAGCCAGGCAGCTCTATCTGACCACCCCCACCACTCCTAATATATCTACTGTCTCCCTGCCCAGCTCTACCCCTTCCTTCCCGTTGCCAGTGTGGCCAGGGCCCTGGGTATCATGTCCGCATGCCCAATTAGAGCCTTATCTCTCCTGCCTCCCTTTCTTTCCCCTGTCCATGACCAGTCCCCAATTGCTGTCCTTATGATGAATCATTCCAATTTATCAGATTTAAAACAAAACAAACAAAAAAAATTGGGAGTGTGAAGTCTTAAGAGAAGAGAGAGAAATACCACAAGGGCTCAGTGCCATTCAGAACAGAGTTGTACCGGAATCAAATGGTGACCACATGAGCAGACACGTGGCTTCGCTTCACTCTGCCCTGGCTGGCTGGGAAGTGGGGCTGTCCAGCTCCCATGCTGGCAGGTAGGAATTTGGTGGGATGTTGGTTTCTTTCTAAATTGGAAACTGCAGTGAGAACTTACATTTCTTTCAATAATTATTTTACTGCAAATATTCAATATTCTATTTAGTTAACTCCTTAAAAGGTGAGTTGCCTTGCATTCATTCAGATTTACCTCTTTTAAAATGTAGTGCTTTTGCCTGGCCAGCATGGCTCAGTGGTTGAGCATCGACCTATGAATCAGGAAGTCACAGTTTGATTCCGGGGCACATGCCCAGGTTGCAGGCTCAATCCCCAGTGTGGGGCGTGCAGGAGGCAGCTGATCAATGATTCTCTTCATTGATGTTTCTATCTCTCTCTCCCTCTCCCTCTCTAAAATCAATAAAAATATATTTTAAAAAATAAAAAGGGAGGGAGAAACCAAGATGGTGGCATAGGTAAATACCAGAGATTGCTGCCTCTCACAACCACTTCAAAAATACAACTAAAAGACAGAATGGACATTACCCAGAACCACAGGAAAGCTGGCTGAGGGGAAATTCTACAACTAGAAGGAAAGAGAAAAGCATACCGAGACTCAGAGGAGGTGCAGTGCGGAAAATACAAAGGTGCGGAGGTGCGTGCGGAGCGGGCTGGCGGCTGAGGGCACGGTTGTCTGTTTCAATTGGGAGGGAGTCTCAGGCTCTGGGCTCCAGTTCCAGGCGAGTCTCTGGGGACCCAGACTCAAATGGAAGAAGCGGGACTGTCTGGCATCGGTCGGAACTCGAGGGCAGCTTTCTCTCCAAGGTTTGCAGCGGTTGCTGGGACTCTGAGAGGCAGAGCCTCTGGGGATGGGACTGAGAACAGCCATAACTGCTCACTCCGCCCTGTTGATCCCCTGGGACCCGCCCTGCCCAAGCCTTGCATAGAGGCATTTTCGGGATAGCCTTAGGCAAAGGCTAGATTAGCACCTCCCTAGAGGACAGAAGTTCTCCCACTGCAGACACAGCTGATTCTCACAACCAGTTGTCCTGGAGGTCAAATCCCCTCCAGTATTACCTACAACAATCAAGGCTTAACTACAATAAGACTGCACACAAAGACCACAAGGGGGTACACCAAGAAAGCATAAAAACTGCGGAGACAAAGAAACAGGACACAACTGACAGAAATGGAGGATATAGAATTCAAAACCACACTTTTAAGGTATCTCAAGAATTGTCTAGAAGCCACCGATAAACTTAGTAAGGCCCTCGAAAAGACTGGTGAGACCGCCAATAAATATTGTGAGATCCTCAAGAAATCTAATGAGACCCTCAATGTTGTGATAAAGAACCAACTAGAAATTAAGCATACACTGACTGAAATAAAGAATATTATACAGACACCCAACAGCAGACCAGAGGAGTGCAAGAATCAAGTCAAAGATTTGAAATGCGAAGAAGCAAAAAACACTCAACCAGAAAAGCAAAATGAAAAAAGAATCCGAAAATACGAAGATAGTGTAAGGAGCCTCTGGGACAGCTTCAAGCGTACCAACATCAGAATTATAGGGGTGCCAGAAGATGAGAGAGAGCAAGATATTGAAAACCTATTTGAAGAAATAATGACAGAAAACTTCCCCTACCTGGTGAAAGAAATAGACTTACAAGTCCAGGAAGTGCAGAGAACCCCAAACAAGAGGAATCCAAAGAGGACCACACCAAGACACATCATAATTAAAATGCCAAGAGCAAAAGACAAAGAGAGAATCTTAAAAGCAGCAAGAGAAAGAAACTTAGTTACCTACAAGGGAATACTCATATGACTGTCAGCTGATTTCTCAACAGAAACTTTGCAGGCCAGAAGGGAGTGGCAAGAAATATTCAAAGTGATGAATACCAAGAACCTACAACCAAGATTACTTTACCCAGCAAAGCTATCATTCAGAATTGAAGGTCAGATAAAGAACTTCACAGATAAGGAAAAGCTAAAGGAGTTCATCACCACCAACCCAGGATTATATGAAATGCTGAAAGGGATCCTTTAAGAAGAGGAAGAAGAAGAAAAAGGTAAAGATACAAATTAGGAACAACAACTACGCATCTATCAACAAGTGAATCTAAGAATCAAGTGAATAATCTGATGAACAGAATGAACTGGTGATTATAACAGAATCAGGGACATAGAAAGGAAATGGACTGACTATACTTGGGGGTGGGGAGAAGGGGTGTGGGAGATGCGGGAAGAGACTGGACAAAAATCGTGCACCTATGGATGAGGACAGTGGGTGGGGAGTGAGGGCAGAGGGTGGGGTGGGAACTGGGAGGAGGGGAGTTATGGGGGGAAAAAAGAGGAACAAATGTAATAATCTGCACCCACTCCCAAATCTCCACCCTTATGTAAAGCCAAGTATTCTTTCTCCTCCTTTCAGCAGTGTTGCTATGAGTGCTGCTGCAAGTAATCATACAACAATGAAGCACCTGTCTCTGAACTGTGTTTACTACCAACACCTTTGAATCCAAATATGGGGGGGGGGAGGAACAAATGTAATAATCTGAACAATAAAGATTTAATTAAAAAATAAAAAAAATAAAAAGGGTTAAAATGTAGGGCTTTTCTTGATGTAATATCTATTAGTTCCGTTAGCCCTTGCCTGGCTCTGAGCATCGTGAAGTAAGTGACTTTCAGCAACCAGATGTTATTAATGAGGACCTTGGGGGGAGAGAAAAAGCCTTCACAAGGTCATGCTGTGTGTTGATGACAGAGTTTTAACTAGAACCCGGGACCTGCTTTAATCACGACACTGGCATATCCACGATGGGATTGATTAAGATTTGGAAATGCCGTTATTTCAAAATGTTTTCTCTTATAATTGATTTCTCTACATGTATAGCAGGCAAATCAAACTGACAGGAGGTTTTTAATGTCATTGTTCGAGGAGTAGCCATGAGCCCTTCCTCTAAATCAGCGGTTCTCAACCTGTGGGTTGAGACCCCTTTGGCGGTCGAACAACCCTTTCACAGGGGTCGCCTAAGACCATCCTGCATATCAGATATTTGCATTACAATTCATAACAGTAGCAACATTACAGTTATGAAGTAGCAACGAAAATAATTTTATGGTTGGGTCACAACATGAGAAACTGTATTTAAAGGGCCAGAAGGTTGAGAACCACTGCTCTAAATAATGCATTATCCAAGAACATTGGCAGGAGGCAACGTATCCTCAAAGGAGAAATATGTTGAGCTCTGGCCTCTGTCCCCCCAGGAGGCTGGGATTCATGGCCACGACTGGCTTCGAGCTCCTTGCAGGACGGCCCAGGCTGTGCAGCCCGCCTTTCTTCAGGACAATGCCTGTGGGTGTAGCGCCTCCGCCAGCAGGAAATGCCTCTTTGGAGGGAGGACATGTGTTATAATCTGCTTATTAGTTTTTCTTTTCGGGGAAACTCAGGACCTTGGCCAAAAAAACATTGACGTCTGGGCTGGGCGGGGCAGCTGCCTGGTAAAGGAACTGATTCACTTCCTGAGGCCCAGCCCAGTGAAGAGCCCTCTGGACGGTGCTGGGAGAATTTGAGAGGGTCCGAATGGCAGGGAGGGAGTCGGTTAGACTAACCCTAAGTGTTCCCTGCAGGGTGAAGTCCTGGTGTCCTTGTGCCCGGTCTGCAGCCTGCCTCTCCTCATCTCCTGCCCTTGCTGCAGTACCTCCGCAGTTTGCTGGTGTGCAGAGGCCATGCTCTTCCTGCCTCCAGGAGGGCCTCTGCAGGACTGGTGCCATGGCCTCACTGCCAAAAGCAAACATTCTCCAAGCCCCGGCTCATGTATTTCTCGAAAGCCTTCCCCCCACACACAATGCTAGGCGTCACCAAAGCTGTGTAAACATGTTCCTCATAGAGTTCATAACAGATGTGTATGGACTGTTTACAAATCAACTTAGTCAGTAAATAGCATCTTATTATGTGCCAGGCACTGAGCTAGGAGCTGGGGTACAGGTATAAACTAAACAACTGGCTGCAAGAGCTCACAGCCTGGTAGAAAGACAGCGCTCATCAGGCTGGAGAGGGGCCCTCATAGAGGAGTGTGGGCACAGGGCCTCGTGCCCACAGGGCCAGGACACCCAGTCAGCCTGCAGAGGGAAGGCTGCAGGTGGAATAGCTTTGGGACAGAAAAATCACAAGTGTGGTTTTTGGAACAAGATGTGTTCAATCAGACGTGCAAGGGGAAATGCCGAGTAGGCAGCTGCGCATGTGAGTCTAAAGTCTGGGGGCTCTGACCTGGAGATACTCATTTAGGAGGCAGAGGGACAGGGGTAGTATTTAAAGCCAGGAGACCAGATGCTGATAGAGTGAACCAAGAACTGAACTTTGTGTCTCCCACCATTAGCTGACCTTACTCTTCACAATTCTTTGACCCATTTTTTTTTTTAAGTGGCTCTTAGGCTCTTCCTGGGAAAGACAATAACAATGATGATTTCCCCTGCTGATGTACCAGGTGCTCTGTGTGAGGGTTTCTAATCACAGTAACTGAGGTCGGGACTCTCATCCTCCCCTTACAGGCATGAATGCCCCGTGGGAGAAAATAACGGGATTTGCCCTCCAGGCGCTTGTCTCCTCCTTCCTGGCTCTCATCACACCTTTGTATTGTACCCTTTTAACCATCAGGACCAGGCCCCACTCACCTCGGCATCCCCGGCACCCAAAACCTTCGCCAGCGCGAAGGAATGTATTGTTTGGTCCAGAAAATGTGGTGGACTGACGAACGGACAAAGTGCATTCCGCTCAGGCCGCGCGTTTGCGGGGTGGGTGACAGCGAAGGGATCGGCACCACTGCGGCTGTCAGGGGGCGGCGGCCGCAGCCTTTGTGCGGAGGCTGCTCCCGGCTCCCGCCGCTGGGGG